CAGATTTCACAACTACAAATGAAAGGCAATTACAGGGATGCCTGGAATTGGTTTCCCATTCAGTTTCAGCATTGCATCACGAGCCGCAATACCATCCAAAAACTCCACAAAGCCATAGCCAAGCGTTTGACCTGTCGCCTTGTTGCGTATAATCTTGACGCTTACGACCTTTTCATCGTGAAATTCAAAGGCTTGGCGAATGAAAGTTTCATCCATAAAGGGCTCCAGCTGGATATGTTGAATTAAGAATTGCATGCTTACGTCGCCCATCCATATGGTGTGAGAAAAGTTCTGCATCATCACAAGCAAGCTTATCTGCAACAAGCCAAGATTACAAAACACTAAGCAGCATAGTCGTATGGAAGAGCACTTTAAAAGATTGTACAACTCATCGGTAAGCAAAGATTGCTTGAGTCGTGCAAAGTTACGCGTGAAATTTTAGCAAAGGCGTCGAAAATGCAAATCTTTGTGATAAAGCTGCAGAATGAAAACCCACGACATGCAAAAGCTAAGATTCTTGTAACTCATAAAAAGTTGGCATTAAGTAACCGCAACACCAACACCTTGTTCTACCCGCTTCTAATAGTACCAGTTCGAAGCATGCAGCTGCAGAACTTAGTTTTTGGGCCTTTAAAAACTGAAATATGCTTAAACATACAATGCTATACGAGGTGCTACAAAGGCGTCTAACGCTTTCACATATGAGCACAAAATGTGGTGTCATAAGTCCTCATATTGGCACCTGACGACAAAAAAGCGAAGAATTAAAATTTTTTCTTTGTCACAATTTCGTACATTCTATGCCTACTACAAACCAATGTGACATACTCCAGCTATTTTTATTCCCAGCTGATGCAATATAGTGGCTAATTGTCTATCCGAGCACATTGAAGGTATTCGGGAGGAGTAATGCGATCGGCTTCAGAAACGGTACAACTTAAAACGTTCCATTCTCACTGTTTATTTGGTATAGTTTAATACCGAGCCCAAAATCTTCCCCCAATGTCATGCAATTTATCATGTAAGATCTCAAAAGTTGGAGGAATATGGATTAAACCTAGAATTAAGCAACATTCTTACTTCTGGGATGAGGCGGCCTTCAAAATGTTTTCGCGGTATTTGCTTTCCTGCCCGCTTCGGTCAATTGTGCGGCTAAAATCATGCTATTTCGTTAATCAAAAATGCAAAATCTTTGTAGATCAAGGAATCCATCTCCCAAGTTATGCGGTTGGAAAGAAGGAGTTCATTCCACCGCATCCTGTCATACACAATAGTAAGTCTATTAGAGAATTG